ACGCCCTCGCCCGCGGCCGACGGGCCCGGCGAGGCCACCACGCGCGCGCCGCCGCCGGCCGCCTCGCAGCTCCCCGGCGCCGAGAGCTGCGAGCCCACGGAGGCGCGCGACGTGGCCTGGTCGCGCACGCGCCAGGGGCAGGTGGCCAAGCAGCCCTGTCCCGTCGGCTCCATCGGTGAGTTGAGGGGTGGCCGGAGGAGGTCGGGCACCACTCTAGGGGATGGTCAACGTATTGGTTCTTCAACGTTGGTTCTTCAACGTATGGTCTTCCACAAGACCCGTGTTCTTCAACATGGGTCCTGTGGGCATCGGTGGAGCACACGGATGCTTTTTGGCACATATACGTTGCATTGGTGAAGTATGTGTACGTTGGGAAGCCCAGCAGCACCAAGGACCCAAACTTAAACATCACCTTGTGCAGAGTCTTGGGCATGCTGAGCTCCATCAATGAGAGGAGACCAGTAACTACCTACCTTGTGGTGCTGAGCACCAATAGCAAGAAGAGACCTCTGCAAATTTGATATTATCCCTGCTCTGCCCATAATTGTAGTCACCAGGCTGATTGACACTTGTCTTGATGCTTGAAATTTCGCTTTTTTGGGGATAGGAAAAACAATCAACATGGGTATTCCCAGCTCAGGCCCCTGAACATGTGCGTGGGATTTTTCCATGCACATCCAACATGTCCAACGGGGAAAGCAGGGGGAAGAACAAGGCCAAATCTTTTGCAATGGTCTCTTAATGACTGGATTTTTCTTCTTCCCCCCCCTTGCCCTCAATTGGTCATTTCCACAAGGTTGTTCTAGGAAAGTTTCTGTCCAAACCAAGACGTCGTGATTTCGGCCCATGGCTTACTTGTACATATGCTAACAAAGGCAGTTTGTGGAAAACCTTTAATTTTCATCCTAGTCCTAGTGCAGAAAGTGGAGGAAATTGCCTCAGAGGCAGAGCCTGGAGAGATCTGCTTTGCAAAGGAGACTCCCTATTCATTCTGTGCTCTGTTGCCCGTGGGAAGCCATTTACATTTGTGTATCCTAATTCTGAGTCTCTCCTGGATTCAGCGAGGTCAGTCTGGTCAAATGTATATGAAGTATGAGGGGAATGGAAAGAAATGAGCGACGACAGTTGGGAGGGAGTATTTTTCCAGATCTTTCTGAGCCCTCCTGCCTGGCCTTGGGCAGATGCTGTTGTGTATCTCCAAGCTCCATAGTGTCCAGCTAGTGAAACGGGGCAAGTCCCTGCCCTCATGGGTCTGTTGTGCCTTAACGCCCCAGAGCACCAAGGTCATGGGAGATCAGGAGGCTGAGGTGACTCAGAAGGGTCCTCCTGAGCTACCAGGAGGTCTAAGGCCCGGTGAAATGAAGCCTGTGAGCCCAGGTCCCAGCGGGGCACTGGCCTGAACCCAGCAGCTCTCCCCACTGCAGGTGTCGCGACTTTCCGCTGCCTCGCGCCCGACGGCGTCTGGGACCCCCAAGGACCGGACCTCAGCAACTGCTCCTCTCCCTGGATCAACCACATCACGCAGAAGGTAAAGCCCTTCCCGCGCGTTGCCCCCACCACGGCTGTGTCCCCTGCTTGTTCTCCAAAGCGACCCGGAGCCGTGGGGGCTCTGCCAGCTCCTAGGCACGATCCAGGGGTTGTCCTGAGGAGAAAGCAAGCATTATTCTACCGTAATCATGGTAGAAACCAGAGCAAGGAGAGTTGGGGAAAGGCAAAGGTCTGGAGAGTTTGATCTGGAGTTAGACCAAGATGAATGGCATTCCTTGTCTGTGGCCAGAAGAGGAGGAAGAGAGAGGAGGAGGTGAGTGGATGACAGGGAAAACGATGACTTACTGCAAACAGAAACACACCTTTTCGCACATCCCCAGGGATTTTCTACCTTGCAAGCACAAGGCAGACCCTGTAGTTGAGAAGTATCCACCTGAGAAAGGCAGGCTCTGTGTGACCTGYCTGCATGGGGCTACTGACTTCCCGGCCTTAACTCCTTCCCAAGCTGCAAACGGACCGATGGAATAGAAAGCARTGCTGCAGTCATGCGAATCCTTTGCCTTGCTGGCCCCTTGATGGATGTTTTGCAGCCTCCATCATCTCTCAGCGTTAGCAGTGCATTAACATGTCCCAGCGGGAGTACACTTATTTGGTGGCAATATGTAGAGCCCTTTTGTTGTTAATGCGCAGCGGCGCTCCCAGCCAATCCCACTGCACAGGGAGACCAGACGGGTGCTCATCCCACAGCATCCGCAGGCTGCATCCTTGTGGGAGCAGCTTGTGCGGAGCCGTCCACCCCTCGAGCCAAAGCAGGAGGGCCCCAGTGGCACCAGCAGGTCGTGGAGGTGCCCGGGCCCTTGGCCATTAGCAGAGGGGACTAATTGCCTGCGCTGAGGAAATCCCCATCAAGATTAAGACTTCGCTTGTTGGAACCCACAGCCATYGTTTGCCTAACGAATGAGCCCCCTTTAATTTGTTACATGCCTTCAAAGCCATCTCAGGTTGAAGGGACAGATTTTCGGGCCACAAAGCAGGACACAACCAGGACAGAACTACATTTTTTTGAAATATATATATATACATATACGTATATATGTTTATATATATATATATGTATGTATGATTTTTCGAAGAATTCAGCTTTGTTCAGCTTTTGAACCCCCCACGCTCGGTGGAAGGGCCAGGAGAAGCTGCCACATGGCTCTGGATCCAACCTCTTGGTGCCTGAGTGGAGACCGGCCGCTGGCTGAGGGCTCTGTGGCCCAAGCACCATGAGGAGAAGCTCCAAATGGCCAAGCCTTTCCAGGAGTGGCATTGGAGAGGAAAACCCTGCCAGGGTTAATGGGGGTCTTGTGTTGGGATTTGCATTCACTGGGGTCCCTGTTGCAAACACTGGTGTGAAATTACCTGTGAAATTTCCAGTTACTGCACAGTTTCACCGCTGGGCTGAGAGATGGGGCCTGGTTTATCCCCATGGTGGGGCACTGGAGAAGCTCTTAGGGGACAGGCGTGCTTGCTCTCATGTTTCTGTGGTGAGGAAAGGATCRCTGCTTGCTTCTCTCCTTTCTCCTGCTGGGCTTTGACTGTGCACCAGGTGTTTGCCCACGTGCATCACGGTGCTGGGTTTYACAGCCCTCTCTTAGCTTCCATTAGAGTTACTGTGCTGGATGGAAGGTGAGAACAAATGTCCTCCTCAGCAATTCGCTGGCCTCCTGACATTTCCTTTAGCTCGATTGTTGGTGCCCACCATGCCCTCGCAGCGTGGCCGAGGGATAAACTTGCCAGCGCTGCTGAATTACGCACTGCTCCGTGGGTTATTTCCAGAGTCGGGCAGTAAAGGGAAGCAAAAAGGTCGTCTTTGGATACGTTGCAGCGGCCTCATCGTGAGGTCCTATGTTCAGCCTGCTGGTTTTATCTCTTGCTTTCATGTGGTTTGCTTCAAGAAGTCTTTTCCTCACTGTGGCTTTCAATTTTAGGGCTCAAGGGGGGTTTTTGGGACACACCACTGCATCACGGTGTCCGCTCCAAGGCAGTCGAAAGGAATTGGGTCTTCTCCCCAAAAAGGTGTTAGAARGCTCTGCCAATGAGAGTGGTAGACTCTGCCTTGTGTGTATGCAGACATATCAGGAAACCTCTGCTGTAGATGATGCTAAAGATGTTTGTGAAGGCTTTCCAGGCTTAGAACTTGGTGCAAAGTCCCAGTGTAGACTTTGCAGTCCGGCTRTTGGCAGCTGGTGGTTCCCGACAGGCCTGTTAGGTGTTTGTCCCTTCAGAGAACAGCACCAGCTCCAAGGCCTTCAAAGGTACCAAAGGTACCATCTTTATGTCGCGGGCCTTAAAAACCCTACTTCAATCTTTCATACCAGCTGTTAGATCTTTTAGGTAGGTGGAGGCGTCAGCCTCAGGCTGCAGGAAAATGTGTTTGCCTGTACGGCCACTGGTTGTTTCAGCACATCCGCTCCCTTCCGCAGCAACCCTTTCTTATTCCCTCTGAATTTCCTTCCCAAAATATCTGCTGCTCTGAATTGCTCTCATTGTGTATTCTGCTGCCCTCTTCTGCAGCCGCTTCCCTCTGAAAAAGGTAGGGAAGAAATGGAGATTGGTGCTGCCAGGGAGAATTGCTGTGTGCTTTTCCAGGCAAAACTCCCAAATTCCCTTCCACAAATCTTTGGGAAAAAAAAAAAGGCAGGAGTATTTACCCTGTCCAGCAGCAATTGTTTTACAGTCTCTTTAGATGTAAGAAGACAAAAGGCAATGTTGCAACTAGGAAAGCATTAGCGAATTGGTGCACAATGTGGTTTCAGGCAGAGCAATGCTAATTTGTAAATCTGGCCTGAGTCCTGCCAGGATCCTGCAATGAAGCAAGGCAGCATTTTTTTGAGCGAGCAAGAGGGCTTCCTGCTGTGTCTTGGTATTTTTTTTGGCAGGAAGCATTTTTGCCCCCTTAGAATTAACATTTCAAGGCCAAATTTGAGCAATTTGTAGAGGAGTCACCCAGCACCACGAGCAATCCAGTTCRGTTTGAACAGAAAACGGTTTATTTTTATCTCAGAATCCCTTTATTTTTTTTCCCACAGCGAGCAAAGAAACCAACACCACCRAGTTTAGTCTCACATCAAAAAGAGGTTTATTATTTTTAACCGTTTWTTCCCTCTTTCAGCCTCCCAGCAGAGCATATGGCCCTTTGCACTTTTTCCCTTGCTTCTTGCTCACCTCTCAGTGGCAGCCCAAGGGCAGCACGAGGGCCCTCCTAGGGCTGGGAGCACTTAGTGAGCAGATATTACAGCACAGAAGAACATTACATACCTAGAAGAAAGATGCCTTAATCCAAGTGGAAGATGCTCAAGAGAAGGAGGCAGCGTGAACTTGTCAGTGACTGTCACTGCAGGCACCCTGCATACATATGTATGTGTATATACCTCTGTGTGTGGATATAGATATAGATATAGATATAAATCATTGCAGTGACCTGTAGCTGCATCTTCAGGAGGACAGCAGAGAGGTTTAGAAATGAGCATCCCTTTGGTGACCAGTCCAGGAGAGAGGACTGAGTAGGGGGAGCAGCCAGTGCGGATTTGCAGGCTGGAAGGAGCATTAGGCTTGAGCGTAGCGAGGARGAAACCGCTCCGTTTTGAATCTAAGTTATTGCTCTAATGGGAAAAACACCACATTATCGGTTTCAGTTATCTTATCTGCACCATCATATGTTTTAATCCTCCGAAGACGAGCGCATGAATATCTTCACTTAGGTTTCATTAAATCAGATGGGCTGTTGCTGTCAAATTGATGGAAGCAAGTTGTTCATTTATAACTCAGCTAATTGATTTACTGAGAGGTGGAAGCTCTGCCTGCTATCTTTCCCTATCATCTCGCTTTAATAATAAGCACCCGAAACTGAGGGAACAAGAGAAATATCTGCTTTCCAACCGAAGGCAGATAAGGCGCTTGGAAATTTCACATGAAGAACCCAGCAGAGTTGATCATTGAGCCTGACGGAGAAGCRGTAGCTTAATTTCCGTGCAATCCTCTGTAATTTCTCCCGATCCCTGCACTGTTCCCCTTGGATACGCATTTCCATATTACAGAGGGATGTCGAATGGAGAAACAGATCAGCATCTCGAACTAGTGGTTCCTCAGCAGGCTGCTTCGTTGTGTCAAGTGGCATCAAAGCATCCACAGGCTGTTGGAGCTCTGCTCAATCCCATGGGGCCGGGAGGGCCGGAGGGATGTCCTGGCAGCAACCAGGACCCACATTCTKCTCTCTCCCTTGTGCCACCCACTTGCAGATGAGGTCGGGCGAGATGGCTGCCAACATCGCCCGGGAGCTGGCGGAGCACACGAGGAGCCACCTCTACGCCGGGGACATCACCTACTCCGTGTCCGCCATGGTCCAGCTCGTCAACCTGCTCGACGTGCAGCTCCGCAACCTGACGCCCGGCGGGAAGGACAGCGCCGCGCGCAGCCTCAACAAGGTGAGCAGCAAGGGCCTGGAGAAGACCTAGCACAAGGAGGGCGCTGCAGAGGTCCTAGATACCTCTTGCTGAAGGGGAGCCCTTGSGGGGCTGCAGGACCTGCAAGGTCTTCCTGCAGCCCCCCAAGGGCTCCCCTTCAGCAAGACGTATCTTGCTGAGGTCTTCTCCACAGGCAAGGTCTTGCCTATGAGGTCTTGCTGAGGTCTTCTCCATAGGCAAGAGATTTTGCTTGGTGGTTTTTCATTTGCAGAGTATTTTTCTTTTTCCTCATGAGAAATGCAAGAGTTATAGACACCAAAAGCACTGGAGGTGCTGGGAAAAACACACTCCTTGATGAGCAGAGGGATGAAAGCCAAGTGCTTTGTCCTGGTCTCGGCTCTCCAGTACGAGACCCGTTGAAGTGATGCCATGATACTACAGCAGTTAATTTGAATACATTCTTGCTTGCGTGGCTGAGACCAGCAACTTGCCCAATGCTGAATCCATCTGTGAAATGACATATAATGCAAGCCAGGCAATCTGCATTTTTAAAGGCCCCAGCAGACGGAGGGAGCTTGCGTTTTGGGTTTATTTTTTGTCTCGTGCTGTTACAAGATGCTGAATGTGAAGGTCAAATGGGCACTTTCATGCATGCAGGCGAACAAATGAAAACAGACAGAAACATTTATTTGCACTTGCGATGCATTTGCTGAAGGTGCATCGGGTGGCTCTGCATTTGCATTGAGAGCATTTCAGATGGGTGCACGTTGGAGAGCTSTCTTAATGATCACGTGCAGCTCAGYCCCCAAGCACCTTAGCATGGGATGACCATGTTGTTCCTGTGCCCTCTGGATGAGAAAAATTATTAGTCCTGTTGTCATTTCCAGAATTAAGTGGGGTGTTTTTTTTTACCTTGTAAACTGTGGAGCAAATACAGCTCTGGTGCTGGTAAGAGCACATTTAAAGTTGAGGGTTGCCTCCTGTCCAAGGCCCTCCGTAGCCCTGAATCTCGAGTAAAAACTTGGATTACAGCTTGTATTGGATTCAGGCCGGGAATTGTGTGGTCCTGGTCATTGGAGCAGAGCAGGAGTGAACCCTGTGCCTGCAAACCCAGGCTTRTGCTGGCTTAAACTGTTCGAAGAAGATGCCAGATTTTGTTGTGAGCTGCCTAGCTGGCTCCATGGCCCCGGTGCCCCYGTAAGTGAGAACAGAGCTTGGTCCCCAGGTGATGTTAGGAAAAAATTATCCCAGCGACGCCTTCTAAAAAGAAATGTTTTTCAGAGGAGTAACACTGCCGTTTTGTTGCAAATTATCCTTGTGGATTTATGCTGTTTCAAAAGCAAAGGGCTTCTGGATTGCTTAATATTGCAGCCGCGTGGGAACCAAAGTCCTGCATGTCCTGTGCTTTGCATGTGCTGGCAATTGGGTCATCCGGATGCTTTTAGTTAGTGCTGCTTCCAGCTATTTTATAACAGCCTAGGTCATAAGTGTATTAACTGTCACATCGAAATAACATCGTTGGTTGCAATCATACCCCATGGCTCTTCGTTGCGAAGCGGTGGCGACGCCAGGTAAAACCAGCAATTAATGCCACGTACTAACCAGTTACATCATTATAGTCCACATGCTCTTCCCTAGGACTCCCTAGGTGCCCCCAAGGCCGTGTCCCCCTCATTCCCAGCTTTCCCCCCACCGCCAGCTCCGCACGACCGGCTCCTCTGGATCGGTTCCTTACATTGAAATTCAGGATCATGTGGAGTCCTGCACGGCAGCGTCGCGAGCCAGCGGCCCAAGCGACAGGCTCCGTGATTTACTTGCTCTCGTTGCCCACTTAATTCTGCAGAAGGGCAGCTGCTCTCTGCTCGTGTAGGAATGCGTGAATCCAGCCTGGAAGTGGGGCTGGGAAACAAGAGGCCGTGGAGCTTCAGCTCCATTTTCTCCCTCGCTGATGGAGAGTGTTTTCAGGAAAAAAAAAAAAGGGTATTTGCCAAGAGTTTTGCTTAGTGCTGTTTAGTCCAAAGAAGAACTACAGCAAGCACTAGTCATTAGATATTTCTTTAATCATTAAAGGAAATGCACCAAGGATTTGCCTTAATACTCCATCTGAAAGTATGTGAAACCTGTGCTGTTTTGCATTTTTTCTTCTTTTTTCCTGCTTTTTACAAGCTGTTGTATGATGAATTGAAATAAAGTGGCGTAGTCAGAGTTTTTTTAAGGGCCATCCTCTTCACAGCAGCCACTTTGCTGTCCCCAAAAGCTTTACGCTTTCCACTGGATCCTGCTTAATTAAGGGAGTAGTTGTTCCTTAGCAGCCTAGTGAGATCCCGAGTGGATATCTCTGTAATTTCCAGCAAAGCTTCCTTTGATCTCCATTTACTCCTGTAAAGTCTTCCTACTGGCCAAATGTACCTGGAGGATGATTTCTCGTGTTGCAAATTCATGAATTAAAAAGCTAAATTAGGCATTGCATTAGGCCCAGCTCTGCGTTGGTTGTTGCAGCTCCTCAGGACGCCGGGGCACAAATGTGGCTCTCGCTGGTGCTGAGGGGGTGTCCTGGCATCACATTGCAGTGAGTTGACAGCACAAGGTACCCCAAATCTCTCTGAATGTGTAATTCCAAGCYGGGAACATCAACAAAAGCAAGGTTGTGGCTCTGAGCAGCCCGAGCTTTGCAAGGTTTTGTGGCATTGGCACCGAGAGGGCCTCATTTGTAGCTCACTCCTTCCTGCAGGCAGCTCAGGAAATCCCATGGAATAAGTGTCTGCTTGAATTTCGTGACCCTTTTAAGAGCACTCAGGAGTCATGCAAGTGCCCAGCAAAGCTTGTTCTTAAATGTGGTTCCTAGGAAAGAGGTGGGATTCCTCTTGAAAAGGCCGTTCGGCATGTAGAGCATTTAGACCTCATAGCTACAGGATCACACAGTGGTTGAGGWGGGAAGGGACCTCTCAAGGTCATATAGTCCAACCTCCCTGTCCAAAAAGGGTCTCGTAGAGCAGGTTGCCCAGSATCGTGTCCAAGGCAGCTTTTGAGTATCTCCACGGTTGGAGACACTGCAACTTTTCCAGGCAATCAGGTCCCTACACAGGAGAGCACAACTTGGAATGAGAGAGGACTGGAAAACAGCCCCAAAGAGCAGTGAGACTGCAGCACGAGGGGCTTCAGCTTGGTGCACTCATGCAGGTGGGTCTGTGCTCCATCCTGGATGCTGCATCCCACTCATTGGGAGCGGTCCTGCTAGTCCAAGGCTGGGCCCACGCTGCCCTGATGTAGTTTAGGATAAGCCCGTCCTTTCCAGCCTCATCTGGCATGGAAATGACAGGGGTGATAGCAGAGCTCTTGAGCATTTCACTTGATTTCCGTGGCTCCAACCATCTAACAACTGCTCTTGCAAAGTCCCCAGTCTTCATTTAACTGAAAACCAGGACTAACCTGAATTCCAGCAGCCGGTCCTTCCACTACTGCCTAACCCGCATGCTTCCCTCGATTTTTTTTGTTTCTAGGAGCTGTTTGAAAAGAGAAACGAGTTTTTTTGTAGATGTTTTCTTCAAATTTTCTTTTTTTTTTTTTTTCTCTCTCCTTGTTCTGTCACTAACTTGTTTTTTCTATCCCGTCTTTAATCTGCTGTCTTTGTGGACTCAGCTTCAGAAAAGGGAGCGCTCTTGCAGGGCCTATGTCCAGGTATTTCTCGCGTTTTTAATGCCTGTCACGTTGTGGGGCTCAGTGGCTGGGTGAAGTGGGGCTTGTCTCCGTGTGCCTGGATTTYGCTGTTCCCTACGACAGCAAGGGCTAAAGTTAAGGTGACAGGACAACAAGGTGACTTCGTTACTCACCACCACCTGCCCGGCYGCCTGGACCTGAATAAAAAAATCAGAGCAAAAACTGATTTAGAAATTGTGAAAAACTGAAGGAAAGATGTAACAAGATCCATAAGTTCACCCAGCTGCAGCCTGCTTTTGGCAGACTGGCGTCCTAGGATTGGTGAACGAGGTGGTCCCTTGGTTTTGGAGAGAGCTGCTCGTCGTGGGGCCCTGGGTTGCCRTCACGTTGTGTCCTGTTACCTGGCTTTGTAGCACCTGCTCCAGTTCCTCTATATAAAGCTGTTTGTGTGAATTAATGTTGCTTTAAGAAGCGTGAATGTTTTGCCTCCTAATTTCTGTGCTTTTAGTTTGCTGCCTTTGACGTTGTGCTTACAGCTGGTTGGTTGTTCTGTGTGAGTGTGTAACACACCCAAGGTGTCAATGTGCAACCTGCATTGCTGGAGGGGGCTTCTGGATGTGCTCTGAGTTCCTCTGCAGAGCAGCCCTTCCTGCAGCCTCTGCCAGCTTCCTTTGGTGAGCGCCCACCTCAATCCACGTGTGGGCTTGGATGGCTTAGATTCCGTGGGTGTTCAACATAAAGCTCTTCTCCACCTCACTGCAATCGTCTCTGCCTCCCTTTTGGCAGAGAGGAGGCCATCTCCCATCTTCCATACCCCTTCATGGATCAAGATAAATCATGGAGTTGTCATTCTGTGGTAAAAGAGGACAGTCCTGAAGCGGGGGGAATTGAAGAATGAAGTAGATGGCCTAAGCGAACCTTTTAGGCTCAGCTTTGTGTTATCAGCAGCTAAAATCATGCATCTAGGCATTTTTTCATACACTCTGTTTCCATTTGGAAAGCCATGTAGCTGAAGGCATCAAAAAACCCTTTGGGGGAAGAGTATCTGTAAKAGCAATTAAATGAGAGTGTAGATATTGCTATCCCAGGCCACTTACCCTTTACCACACAGTGAGGTATTTTGTCTGTCTGAGGCAATTGAGCAGCTTTTGCAACAAAAGATGGTGAAATCCTGGGTCTTGTGAAGTCCGTGGGAGATGGGAACCCCCTGGTGAGCAGGCCATGAGGTGTCCAGTGACTGTAAACATCAGAAATGCAATCGATCACTGGTAGATTTGGGTAGATAATAACGGCTAATATCAATTTTAGCCATTTCCTTGGGCTGRCACATGTAAAAGGTCGTGAGACAGCCCCCATGAGAACTGAGATACAAACTCCTCTTGAGCATAAACCCAATGAAAAAAAAAAACAAACAGTGAGTAAAGCTGAATTGGAAATTTTGTAATGAATTCAGATGTGAGACTGTGGGGAAGCAGTATCAGATTATCGTCTTATCTCTCTGGGTGATTCCATAATTAAAACAAATATTGATTTAATTTGTCTGTAAAATGTTATAATGTTTGCTGAGTTAAAAGCTCAGGGATTTTATTTACTAGAGACAGAGATTATGGATGTTCTTGCTTTAGTTGTGACTGTAGTAAAATCTCTATCAAAAGTCCAGCAAAAAAGCAACAAAAGAGTGATATGATAAAGTTATATTCATATAGTAATGGTGACACAGCTGCCCGGGGTTGTGTAAATCACAGTGATATTTAAGCAATATCTTAATTCAGGCCTAGTTGGCCAAGGAAACTCCAGGTTGATGGTGAGTGGTTTCTTCTGGGGAGAGATGATGCCAGCCTCATTGGGTGCATATGGCCACGTGGAGTCATCTTAGCATTTTTGCCTCTGCTGTGAGGTGTCCRGACTCTTCAGCAAACCACAGCATCCTCCACCAAGCTTCATTCATTCCCACTGAATTCTACACCTGAGTGGTGTTTGGGGGTGTATTTAGGAGAGCAGCTACACAGAGAGCCCAAATCTTGTGCGGATGCAAGACAAGGAGGGCCCAGGTAGGCAGGGGCAAACTGCAGGTCTTCTAAACACTGACCCTCTRCTGGAGCAAATAGATCAAGTGGGCTGGTTTAGGTCCTCAAAGACATGATTTATGCCCTGAGGTGGGCATCAGATGGAGTGAGTTRCCATGGAGAGGTGCTTGTCTGCCTTGGCTCATGAAGGAGAGCTTGGAGCGGATATGTGGCATTTTGGTGAGTGAAGAGAGTTGAAGCGGCTCCTGCTTGGGCCTCCTTCTCCTCTCACCCTCCCGCCCACCTTGGGATAACRCAGAGTTCCTGGCACGGAGTTTCCGGGGGTGGGATGAGGAAGTCTTGGTGCTGGAGGATGAGTCATYGTTGGGTGACGTAGCTGCGCTTGGTGACTTGTTGGTGGTGTCAGGGGGTGAGAATGCCCCACCGTGTAGTCAGAATTGGTCTCTGTGCCTTTCCCCTAAGTGTTTCTCCTTAAAACGAAGCACAAGAGGTGGAGGAAACGTAAGTGTCGATCTCTGGGGGGCCACGAAGCAGGTTTTGGTGTCACAGATTTCTTCCGTACCCTGCGGCAAATGAGCCCTGCTCACCATTACACAGCTGCCTAATGCCATGGGGGCAGTTTCCCCAGCCTCCAGGAACAGAGCAAAGGGAAAAAAAAACATATATTAATATTCATACTGAAGTGAAGGATGTTGCATTAACATGGAAATGTTAATATGTCGCTTCAGAGCTGGAGGGCCGTGAATGCAGGAGCTGAGCTGAATGGCCCCCTTGTTGAGGAGGAAGCAGCAGGCAGGGCCTTTGGCAGCCGTGCTCGTGTCCGATGGCATCATCTGCCRTGGCTGCTGCCAGCCCCGGGGCTGTGCTGCTCGCCCCGTGCCCGGCGCTCAGCGTCTGGGCTTTTCTGCACAGTAAGTGGGGAAGGGGACGGAGCTGCTGCTCCTCGCATGAAGATCACGAGAACTTCGCAGGTGGCATAAGAGATGCTCCTGAAAACTGGCCTGAGCCGCGAGCAGCTTTTGGTCCGCAGAGACTGACGGTGGTTGCAGTCCGGATTTGTCCTCGTTCTCCTGGAAGTTACCTGAAAACTTCACGCTTGCAACGTGGACTGAGGCAGAAATGCGAGGCTTTTCGAAGAGCATTCGAGGTGGAGCTGATTAACAGAAGAGCCTTTTTATTTGGCCCTGTCCTTGCAAACCCGTTGGCCCTGTCCTTGCAGACGGTTTTTGAGCTCATTCGGCCACCTAATTGGCACGATGCCATCGTTAAAGGGGCTGGGATAAATTGGCAAGCAGCACGCATGCAACGTAGGGTATTAGCCATAGCTACAGGGTGCTCTTTCAGCAGCCTCCTTTGCGAGACCTAGATGTTTGCCCGCGAGCATCGAAGCGCCCCCAAACTTCCATTTAATTAATTAAAAGGACATGGCTGGATGGCTCCCCTGCCCAGAGCTGAGCCRCGTGCATGCTAGGATTCCCACCTGGAACCCCAAGCTGGAAAAAACCCAGTGTTTTCCATGGGGAAGAGCCTTCGTATCGACAGCTGTAGGGGCCMGGGGAAAAGGATGGATCTCATGGACTCCCTGGGAGTTCCCATAAAGGCTGCTGGTTCCTCTGTCAAGGAAGTGCCCGTAGCTTGCAAGGCCTTTCCCTCTCTGCAGCTCTGCTCCTGGCCCCCCATAATTATTCTGGCTGTTGCTCGTGGAGTCTCAAATCCCAAACAGTCGGACGGCAAATGCGGGATGATTCATGAATGCAGCTCTCGGCTCATTCTGCAGGGAGCATCTCGTAAGATGAAAAGGATCGGCTGTTATTTCCTTCTTCCCAATCARTTCCCTTTATTTCGGTCCTATGGATGCCTTCTGACCTTAAAATATTCTTCCTCGTCGACTAAGTGAAGCAAAACCATAACCCGTAATTTGTAACCGTCTTTCATTTCTCCTGTTTGGGGTGTGTGTCTGTGCTCCGTTGGGAGATTATTGGTAGTTCAAAGCCAAGCTTGCCAGCCCGTCATGCCTCCTGCTACATCATTATTTCCCCCGTTAAGCATTTTGTAGCTGGCCTCATTTTAATAAAGGTCAGTGCCTTTACTCCTGTTGCAGTGCATTCCCAGGCCGTTTACACGCCAGTACCAACCATTCCCGTGCAGGAGGAGCAGGAGACACCTCAATGGTTTATTTATTTCTAGGCGTGCGTTGCCTTTCCAGCAATTCCGTGCGAGGGCATCCTGCTGCATTTCAGGGAACATCCCAGTTGTTTGGAGATGGCCTCACTGCTTTGGAAGAAGCCTTGGAGACTGCCGGGCTTCCCGCCCTGCCTCTCGTGTGCTGACTTGTGTTTGGACCATCCTTTTAATCTGGATTTGGAAGAGAAAGTTGGAAGGAGAAGAACTTGGTGAGGCGGAGAGCCGCGGGGAGCGGCTGGGAGGCAGTTCCCAGCCGGGAAGCGGAACCTAATGACATTTTCCTTGTTTAACATCGGCGCAAGCAATAACGTGCTCATGCATTTTTGATGTGAAGCCCCATGTTGCAGCTTCGCTTGTGATCCCTGCGTATAAGGTACAGAATCCTGCACGTTTTCTACCCAAAAAAAGGCCAGTTGTGTCCTGAGCAGGTCCCTTTCTGTCCTATGGGGTCTCCCATGGATGCATCCCTGGCATCCCTTGGGTCAGCGACATTCCTTTGGGCTGCACCAAGAGGTTCCCAATTAATGTGRGTTTCTCCTGTAATGGGGCTTTTCTTTTATGGGCATGGGCAGCAAGAGCACAACTCCCAGCTGAACTCGCCCCTTGAGCAAGGAAGCAGGCAGGCTCCTAAAAAAAAATTAAAAAATCACTTTCCAATAGGAAAAAGAGAATAATGTTGTGACTCCGAAACCACATCCACATTTCAGAGCAAGCCCCTCCGTAGGGTTTTCCACTTTCATTGCCCACTGCGGGCCTGAAAGGGCTTTTGTGCGTTTTTTTCCATCCACTGATTTGTTGTAAAACCTCAAGTTGCTGTTAACAAGGGGGCTAATAATGTTTTTGCACGTTTTGCACTGGGATGATGATGATGACAACAATGATGATGCTGATGCACTCGCTTGGGAGCAGCACCCACAGCCCTGGAAACTGGAAGTTTGGACATAACTCGAACCGTAGGACCCAGGATTTTCTCAAGCACCCTTGAAAACGCCCTCTTGCTGTCAGTCCCCTGGACTTTTCTTTCTCTTTTCTGCCCCCAAACTGCAGGGAGAGGCTACAGATGAAGAGGTGAAGATGCAAAGATACGTAACTAGATGCATGTGAGATCAGTGGATATATATATGTATAGGCTGAATATGTATATATATRTGCGAGGCTGAAGCTCTGTGTGACKTAGCCAGACGCCCTCACCAAACATTTCTAGAGGGGGAGAGCATAGAAATAAGTGAGCAAGCAAAACTGTGAAGCAGCTGTCACAAAGGAAATCAATGGGATATGTAGGATCAGCCTTTTAGTGATGTATAATTACTGTAAGGCACCTAATTAGTCGCCTTTTGACAATACATGCGTTAATACCAATTTGCAAGTGCCTGGAAAGGAAGTTTTACATTTTGTTGCTGTTTTGTAACCTCAGGACAAACCTGAGCAGCCGTGAGCATCTACCCTGATTTGGGAAGATTCTTCCCCTGCAAGTTAAGAGCTTTCATTTATTTACACTGGATTTACACTGCCTGGTGTTGTGGAATTGCGTGATGAAGAAGATCCACCATCCAGGGATTTATCTTCCAGGCCTGGCATCCTTTTGCTCTTCTCTTGGTGTCCACTTATGGCCTCTGTTGCAAAGGCATTGTGGGGCTCTGTGGCTCTTTCTCTTGCTTCTGCGGGCCAACATGGGCTTGAGTTTAGAGGCTTTGGCCTCACTTGGGTGGACACCCTTATTCTGTAGTCACCTTCRAGCTACGTGAGAGCAGAGGCCAGTGCTTGTCCTGCCTGCCTCTTCTCCCACACTTCCAGCTCTCCCACCCGACCTCTCCCAGTTGGGATCCCTCCCTCCAGAGGCTCTGTTGCTTTCACAGCTGTTTTGGTTCACTTAAACACCTACCTCAGCTCCCGTCCAAAAGGCAAACATTTCATTAGCACCTCATCCCCTTGGCTGCAGCCCGCAGCACTCAGCCCTAATGAAGTGCCGCGCTCAGAAACCTAACGCGGGCAGCCCTTGATTAATGCTCCCAGGCAGGTGAGGGGAGCGACCCTCCCTCGGGAAAAGCAATGGGATAAATCCGTCTCTGATGTAATGCCAGCCAGGAGAGTCGCACCAGGCTGACCCTGAGCGTCCAACCCAAAGTCCTTGGGAATCTATATCCAGAATTTGCATCCAAGCTCCACTTGCAACGTGTCATAAAGTGGCCGATTTCAGGTTTGCTGCTTCCCAAAGAGCACCCGTTTCACCAGGAATAGCTGTGCTGCAGGAGAAGGCAAGTGTACATAACATGTGCAAGGAGAAGGCTCGTGTTCCTTCTCAAGCATTGCACGCACACATGTGCACACCCACTTGGATAAAAAAAAAGATAAATAAATAAAACACACATAAGATAAAACAGTTTTCCTGTTAAAAAAAAAAGTCTTTGCAGCAGCTGTTTTGCCCTGACACAAATAGTTCAGCATCTGGTTCGTGTTTAGGTGAATAGGCGCTAGCTTCCCTTCTGAGGCCAGGAGCGAGATGTGGTGCAAAAAGTGACTCCTTACACCATTCCTGCACGACGAGAAGTATTCAGCGTGCTGTTTTAGCAAGGATTTAAAGAGCCCATTAGTGGCTGAGCTAAGTGAACGGAATGCAAATTGTGTTCTGCATTGAAAGAGGAGAAAAACAAATCCCTGTTTTCTGCTTTCCGTGAATATAAGGTCTTTTTAAGAAGACACTGGGCATAGGACCTGCATGGTGAAGTAGTCCTTTGTGATCACTGGAAAAGAATAGCACTTCCTTTCCAGTCTATAAAGAGATAAGCTACCAAAGTAAACTACAGAAATGCATTAAGAAGAGCTACGGAGGCTTTTTAAAAAAGAGCCATACTTAAATGCTATGGATTTTTAATATTTCTTTCTCACCATTAAAGGTAACCGGTTTATTTTAGGTGCGTGTGCCAACTGTGCTATGATGTCTTTTTTATTATTATTCTTTAGGAAAATCAGTTTGATGATCAGTTTAAGCAATTGATTTGTGGSTAATGCAGCAAGAGAGAAAGGGATTTCAGCTCTGGCTTGCAAAGGCTTGACAGCAAGAAGGTTTTTGCTGCCTGATACCCCCAAAACCAGCTCACAACCTGTGGCAGAGCTGGTCCCGTGGAATTCAGTGGGAATTTTGCCACTGGTGTCAGTGCTGTGTTAGTCCAGTGCTGCAGTAGCACGCATGGAAGGTCCCTCAAGATGTCCAGCCCTTTCAGTTTGATGGTGGTTGGAACTATTGGCTGCTCASTACTGCAGGTGACCAAGCCATGAGGCTCAGGAGAAAACAATTGRCTGTTACTCAGGGGCGAAGGAGAGGTTTGGCACAGAAACAAATGAGTTAAGTGGCCATGAATAYACTTGGGTCAGAGAGCAGGAACTCTTTTCCATAAAAGCAGCCTGATTCTGACTCAGCTTTCCAATAGGAGGGTGGTAGCGTGGAAAACCTTCCAACCTGGAGGACTTTTGGGGATAAAAAGTCTTTGGCACATGAGGAGAATTTTCACTCTGATGGCATCCAAGAGCAGGGAGCTGTGACTGATGGCCAGGCTCTGGTGTTAACCCTTGCACCCATGTGTGTGCTTGGACTGGCTTGGGGTAAGTACAGTGATGCTGTAGGAAAGGAGAACTTCTCAGATGTTCCTTCCCTACGTGTGTTAAGGGACAGGTGACATTAAAGTGTATTGTCCTTCCTCAGGAGATACTAATGCAGGTGGTAACGTCTCAGTGAAATGTTCTTTAGGAATTGAAAGCACCTGGCACTTCCACACGCTGCCAGCTCTTTGCTTCTCCTTGGATTTCAGTGTAATCAAAACTTCCTGAAGGTCATTGGGACATAGCAGTAGCAAGCTCCCCACTGATGTGATTATGGTCTCCCATTTGTAGATGAGCGTGGTGGGTGACTACAAATTGGGATGTCCTCCAGGCTCTGGGTCCCGTGTTGTCCTTGTAACGTGTCTCCTGCAGGTCTCCGCTAGAAAACAGGCTAGGCCTTGTCTTCTTTTCAAATGGCGTCTTCTACTGCTGGGTTTAGGAGCATTATCAGGAGTATTTCCGAGTATTTCCATTGAAGTGAGCCACGGTGCGTCTTCCAAACTGCCAACATCCCACGAGACCATCCCAAGAGTCTTTGCCAGGCAGAACTGCGGCCAGGGTTTTTTTTTGCACTTTCAGCACATAGCAAACTCTTCRGAGCGGGATTGTCCTCCCAAAGGGAAAGCCAGTTTAATAAGCCTGTGTTAATTGGCAGCAGAGGTGTTTCCTTGTGAGGCAAACCTGCTTGATAACTACTAAATAAAGCTATGGAAGTGCTAACCAGCAGAAGAAAGTGCTGGCAAAGTATCCCCTTTCCTTCTGCGTAATCAATTTTAGCAACCTGTGTGCCTGGCTTCAATGAAGAAGGTTGGTTCCAACTAGTTGAGCCAGCTCTGGTTAGTGACCAGGCAGGGACATTGGGTCAAGCAGAAGGCTCAGGTTGGGTAGGTCAGGTAATGGGATTTGTGAATCATGAGGCTGGCACAGTTTCATGTGAGCTGGATGCGCATCCAGATTAATCCATGGAAAGTCCTGCATGGGAGAGCTGTTCGTCCTAGGCAGCCTGGAGCACGAGGTGCCCTGTGGGAAGCATTGAAGTTGTAGCCTTCCTGGTGGGAGCGAATTGAAGTGGTACCAGATCTCCAGCTCTAAAGGCACCTGCTGCTTTTGTGGATGAAGGAAGAGCCGAGGAACATAAGTAGTGAAACTCCCTGTGTCTTCATAAGAGGCTGCCAGAGGTTCTGTGGTAGGAAATGTCCTCTGGAGAGGGTGGCCCGTGCAGACACTAGATACCTTTCTCAGGTGCCCCAGCCCGACCCTTGAATTTTGTCACCACACATTGGTCACCAATGGGTTTTGAAATCTGTTTGCATCTGAAATCTGTTGCCTCAGCGACTTTATGAGCTGCTTCCTTCCTTAACTCTAGTTCCTCCGTGTTCTGAACCTGGAGCCACCAACCCCAGGCTCATCTGAGTACAAACCCAAGATTTTCCCCCCTCATGTGSCATGCGATGAATGATGAGCAACCACCACAGGACCTGGGTGGGGAGGTGGCCCCTGTTCCCACAAACTGCTGTGCACGGAGGAGGGGATCGAGCGCGTGTGTCCGTGGTCTCGGTGGTGCTCACCACGGCCCACGCGAACCCGTCCTGACTTGGTGCCGCTGCCTTGCAGGCCATGGTGGAGACGGTGAATAACCTGCTGCAGCCGCAGGCCCTGAGCGCCTGGCGGGACCTGAACGCCAGCGAGCAGCAGCGGGCGGCCACCAAGCTGCTGGACACCGTGGAGGACAGCGCCTTCGTGCTGGCCGATAACCTGCTCAAGACGGACATYGTCCGGGAGAACACCGACAACATCCGTAAGTGCCCCTAACCAGGAGCAAAAGGTGGGAAACTTGGCAAAATCTACATTAATTAGAGAGRAACTGGGGAGATCCGTCTTGGGCTTTGGTTGGAAATACCTACCACAAGCCTTTCCAGAAGAGGCTGAAGGTCTCAGACCTATCTCCCTACCTCCAAAGGCCATGGAAAGCGAGCAGGTACCTCCCTTCCTGCTGCTCACTTTGCACGTGGAGCCTGTGCTGGAGAGAAGTCTGCACTGAAGCCTTCGGGGAGATGGCTCCTTGTTGTAATACAGCTGTGCTGCATTTCATACCAATCTCTGTCTTTATTTAGCTAATTATTGACTTTAATTAAAAAAAACAAGCACAATGGAAATCACCAGAACTCCCACTGTGCGTATGTGGAATGAGAGCAACGCGTATTTCCACATGTATGAGTTCACATCCCCAGCACTTGGTAACATTTACAGAAAGTGCTGGTCAACAGTGGCAAAGAACTAACATTTTTGGGTTTTCATTTTAGACGTTGCCCTTAATATCCTGCAGTTCTTGTTTTGCAAGAACGGCTTGTCTTCCGTCTTCCATGGAGAGCAGAATTTATTTACTTTTSTTAAATTAAATTTTAAACTTCGGCAGGGCAGAGATTTAAGCAGAAATGGGAGTCCAAAATGAGTCTAGTGTGAAATACTCCAAGTTGATTCCTCCGTTTTGGGGCATTTGGGAAAAYCCATTTTGTGTCCTTGACGCACGATGCCGGGGATTATTTCAGCCGGGTTTTTTCTTAACGCCGACGTCTCTTGCAAACAGAGCTGGAAGTCGCGAGACTTAGCACGGACGGGAACCTGGAGGATCTGAAGTTCCCACAGAACCTGGGCCACGGGAGCACCATTCAGCTCTCAGCAAACACCTTGAAGCAAAACGGTCGCAACGGTACGTCCAGCCCCTCAGCCTCATGGGCCTTGGGCAACGGTTGCACTTTCAGCACCACTTCCGGGCAGTTTGCAAACCTCTGTGCTCTGATTAACCAGTTGCAGATATTGTATTACTCAATAGGTTCCTATTTTAAGGTTAATAACGGCAGTCGCTCATGCCCCCGACTCCAGGCTAAGTTGACTGACAGGGAATTTATTACTTTGCCAAGTGAGTGGGTCTCCAAAAGTATGAAGTGTGGGTAAAAATGTGTCAGGCCCTTAAATGCTGTGGCTGCTAGGACACAGTGCTGAGGCCAGAGAAGTGCTTTCAAAGGCTGTCATCTGCAGTAGGAAGCCTCACACGGGATAAGCGGCTTGTGGAATAAACTGAAAAGAGAGAGGGGAGAAACAACAGCAACAAAGAGTAATAATGAGCCAACCTGGCAGCCAAGGTTGATTAACCATTGGGGATCTCAGTCTTCAGTGTCTTTCCCTCTGAAGCTTATGACAAAATATAAATTCAGGTTGACGTTTTATGTGAACGGTCTTTAAGCTGCCGAGTCTTTTATTTCCACGCCGGTAATTTGAGCAGAGGTGTTTGTTCATCTCTGCAGYTCCACTAAAGACCTACTTCAACCTGCCAGAGTTTGTACTAATAGGCCTGATGTGCTCTTATTTATGGGTTGCTTTAAGGTGTGTGCTTCAGTCACATACTTTACTTTTGTGTAGAAAGCAAAGTTCACCGAGATGAGTAACTATACTTGGTTGGGACCAGCGTTTCACTCAGTTAATGGGTTTAGGAGATTTGTAGAGAAAAAGAAATTGGTTTGGAGGCAAGGAAGGTAAAGTCTGAACTCCTGAGCATGGTATCTGCAGAGTTCTGGTCACATAGGAGAGTCACAGCTTAGCTCAGCACCCACCTGGAGGCCACCAGAAAGTGCTGGAATCACAGATCACACAAAGATCCATGAAGGACCTTTGGAGATCATCKGGTCCAACCACCTCAGGGCTCTGCACGCTATTTGTGCATGAACTTTCCTTCTAAAGCATCCTGAGAGCTCAAGGTGATTCCTCACAAAACAGACAAACAAAATAATAAATACAAAAGCAAACTAGTCACGTTCTGTTTTTATTGCCCTTGCGATATTGTGCAAAACAGTGGCCAGCTGTGTGGTTTATTTTATGAACCAGTTGACCAGTAGTGTGGCTTTTATGCGGGAACAGTAGGTTTCAGGAGAAACAGAGGCTGCCTGACTGGCGAATCAATAAGAAGTTTTCCCAGAAGAACATCCAAGCTTGTTCAAAGGGCATTGCTTAAACCAAAAAGTATCGTCTAGACCAAATCACAGTGGGCTGGCCTGGGTGTCTAACCTCCCTCTGCTCTCCCAGGCGAGATCAGGGTGGCGTTTGTGCTGTACAACAACCTGGGGACCTACCTCTCCACGGAGAACGCCAGCATGAAGCTGGGAACGGAAGCTATGTCGACGAATCACTCCGTCATCGTCAACTCCCCCGTGATCACGGCAGCAATAAACAAGGAGTTCAGCAATAAGGTTTACCTGGCTGACCCCGTGGTGTTTACTGTCAAGCACATCAAGGTGAGCAAACCCCAGAAGCTGCTTTTTGCCCCCGGTTTCAGAAGCAGAGCGYGGCAAAACTGTGCTCATCGGAGGCCCCCAGCAGCCCTCGATGAGTTGGTGAATTATACGTTTGTTCCTTTGCACTTTGTGTTATTTATGGAGAATGTCTGTTTGAGCTGCATTAATAAAAGTAAGGAAAGGGTCTCCTCTGAACCGATGTCCATTGCTCAGTTGCTGACACACGTCGTTCCGTAATTAAAAACTACCCATATATTAGAATGGACCATAATATTATTTTATCACAGTGGCAGGAGACATTAGAGGAAAGTGGAATTACAGTGGAAGAGGACAGCTAGTCCTCCTGTTAGCCAAGCACAGTCATTGCAAAAGTTGATTGCTTAAAGCAATTAATTTCCCTCTTCTGCAATGCAAATGAAGCAGTCTGRTTCTGAAGAGCTGAATTTACTCAGTGGCTGAAATTAATCAAGAAGAACTAAGTTTGCATTAGCAAAGAGAGCAGCAACAATCTAACTTTCTCTGGTATCGACGAGAAATACTTGACRTATAAACCATTGCTGGCTGTTTATGTAAAATGAAAGGGTGAGTGTTACAAAGAGCCTCTGGAAGAAAACCGAGTGCATTTAGAAGTCTTTGAAACCCTGTCATTTTTTATTGCATGTATTCATTTCTTCCCCGCAGCAGTCAGAGGAAAATTTCAATCCCAACTGTTCCTTCTGGAGCTACACAAAGCGMACCATGACGGGCTACTGGTCGACCCAAGGATGCCGCCTCCTGACGACTAACMAGACCCACACCACGTGCTCCTGCAACCACCTCACCAACTTTGCAGTGCTCATGGCACACGTGGAAGTTAAGGTAGGCGCTGCAGAGAAGGTGCTCCATGTATTGCTCAGGTTTGCTCCTGCCAAAGGGAGCTGTGCAGTGAAATGGGAACTGTCTGGCCGAAGTCTTTCTGCCGCTGCCTGGTGAAGGAGGAGGTCATCACGCCCGTGCAGAGACAGTGCTGTGCTCCTGACATGGGCAGCTGCTGCAGCAGGGGATGATGAACGAGCAGAGTTGGCCCTTAGTTGCACATCCTTTGTTGCAGAACATCTCCTTGCTGCGTCTTTGCTCTCTTGTGGCCTCCAGCATCTTCTGGGCGGGCAGAAATTTCAGATGCACTTCCATAGCCACATTTTTTTTTTTTTTGAAAGAGCTGTTTAAAATAGTTTTCCAATGTCACTCCTTTGTATATTTTTGTTTCACTTAATAATCGGAAGAGGAATGTAGAAAGCCACGATAAAATATGTAGCAAAGCACCATCATGCATGACCAAAGCTGTGCAAAAAAAAGGGAAGGAATGAGAGCCTGGCAGCTCATTTGCCACAGCAGCTGGGTCCAGCTGAGAGGGGCAGGACAGACAGGCTGCCGCAGGATAAAGCATCCATTATATTCTGCAGGAGTTACTACCCGCCCGGGAGACATGCCATTAAATGGCTCTGGCATTATCCTGGGAGTTGTCTGGAGAAATGGCCTATTCAGAGCGCCTGTTTACAGGTTAATGGCTTTCTGCAGCCTGAGACCGTTTTCTTGCCAGGTTCTTAGAACCGCTTGAATCTTCAAAGAGAAACGCTCGGCTGGTTATCACCTGCCTGGAGTTCACAGATACCCCCGAGTGCCTCAAGTCAGAGGTTGCACCTGGGAAACGGAGATAGTTTTGCAGCCCAGCCGTGGGAACAAGGGTGATCTGTACTGCACGATGCAGATAGGGGCTAGCACCAGGCACGTAGGGCAGCCTTGCCTGCGTGGCACTTCACCTAAGCCTCGTTAGACTCGTGGCACTGCTCTTATCTCGGCTTGCAGGGAGAGCCCCTCGCTTCCCCATGGACAAGTGGATGGGAAGCAGGCTGCTGCAAAACCATGACTAATGCCCAGAGCCCCACGCGTCTTGCGGGGCGGGCAGCTGGGCCCTGCTCCTTCATCACAAGGTGCAACAAGCATCGCTCGTGCTCRGCAGTGAGCTCCCGCCCTCCACGTCTGGCAGAGGAGCCAGTTCTGCAGAGGAGATCTCTGAGTTACAGACGGGGCTTAACTASGAGCGGAGCCTACGTGGCGAGGCTGAGCGCGAAGACAGCGCCCGTCACTGGTGATTACTGGCCCTGTGGAGCAAAGCAGCTCTGTGTCTTTGTTGGCGGGTGACACTGGGCGACCACCACGGCAGGGATTTGCCAGCTTGCTTCAGGAGAAGGTGGTAGGGTCAGCTGCAATCTTAATAGGGCAGTGCCCGCTYAAGAGCAAGAGCTGTGATTTCTGACAAGGCCTCATGCCTCTTAAAGTGTTGGGCCCAACCCAAAGACCTCCCTACCCACATATCAATATCCATAATCTATATATCTGTACCTCTACCTGTATTGTCCCTTGCAGGAAACTCTAGGCACTCCAGRAAGCTGCCTTCTTGTGGAAAGCTTGAGCATTGGCACAGTGTTCCCATTGGAATATTGGGACCAATATTGGGAATATTGAGACCTCCCTTTGGTGTGGGGATGTTGGAACTCTTGAAGAACRCTTGAAGCTTGAAGTAGTAAATCCCTGGTTTCATCAGAGAAGAAGGACGTTTGGCCTGTGTTACAGGAAGATCATTACAGCTGCACAGATATGTTGCTAATGCACATACCCGTTAAATGTTCCCAATGACCTTAAATGCCTTAAAACCCTGGTGACTCCCGTGCTGTGGGACTAAGGCCACAGGGAAATAGGCCATTCTACCTGCAAAACGACTGCAGACTTACCTGCAAAATTCACAGGCTGTTTTTTCATAGAGCCTCACACTCGGCCTCATAATAATTACAACAGATGCATCTTAAATGTGCCATGGGAAAAACATGCAGCCGGAAAACAAGTTCAGTGCTGGTGGGAAAATGCCATTAAAATAAAAGCCCACCCAAAACAGAAGCAGCAAGGTACCCGAGGGTAGATAAATGGTGCTTATCAGCGTGTAGAGAGTGCCAGAGCTTTCTCTTCCTTATAAAAAAGCAGAGAAAGACAAAAAAAAGAAAAAAAATAGAGGTGTTTTAAGTGTAGCAATTAATTCGAATCTTTCAGATGTTATTCCATACCACACACACACATTACATCATGCTAATTATTAGGGGGATGGAAGCGTAAGGCGAGCTGAGGAGAGAAAGGAATGAGCTGAGGAGAGAAAGGAATCAAAATAAATGAAGTCTAAATGGAATGTAGTGGTCCGTTGCCTAAAGCAATACAGCCATTTCAGATATGAAGCACCAGCAAGTCGTATTGCTCTGCTGGTTTACCCATATATTCGCACTTGTGGGATGGAAGAGCAGTAAATGAAAGCAGAAGTGGGTGCAGGACTGCAAAAACATGCTAACTGCAGGCTTAAATTACCGAAACTGCTATATGATAAATTCTGCAAAACAAACACATTGTTACCACCAGAAGAGTTAATTCTTAAAAAAAAAATGCTTTAATTGAACAGAAAAGTTATCAAATCCGCATGTCTTCATTGAACTGTAAAAATCAAATGCAAAATACAAAACTGTTTGAGCCTGTGTCAGGAATAGAAATGTGGAACTTCTGTATACTCCAAGAACAAGGAGATGTAAAAGACACATTTAGCAATAAGTTACATGCTCCTGAGAGTTTATATGGTATCCACAAAATAATRCTGTTCCTTATCTATCTTCTCTTGGAGAACTTCCCAATCCTAGTTGTTTGTGAATCCAGCCTGCTCTCTGAATAACCCATCCTGAATAACAGAAATTATTTGTGGAGAACCTATTAGGTCAACTAACCTGTGCTTACAGGGTCAATACAGAGTCATAGCTGGCAGTTTATTCCTGCATTTTTGGTCCAGGTGGGCAGTAAGTCACTCCAGGGAGTTTCCTCAGCCCCTGGCCCTCGGTTGACACGTTCTGGTTGGAGTTCATCTGGTGTTTCTTGGGGTTTTTTTTGGATTTCTAGTTCTATCCTCCTTGAATTCTCACCAGTGGTTCTCATCTTCCCCAGAGTTTTGGCCCAGATTCACTCAGAGGTCCAACCTGAAGAAATGGCATCAGAAAAGACCTACTCCAAAGCCTGGAAGTTGCTGCCTGTTGAATTTAACTTGCTGAGCACGTTGTATTTTTATAGGTGCCAGAAATTAAAGCAGATGCCACTGCTTCCTTGATGCCCACAGCAGTGGGATATGTATTTATTCCTCATCGTCCTTCCTAGCTCAGCTCTGAGCGCCGTGGATAGTGCCACAGGAAGGAACCAGGCTGCAGAGCAAAGAGATTTACTCCATAGGGTTCCTTGATGCTCTGTCTTAAAATACTCAGTTCCAGTTACTCCTCTGTGTTGAGCCCTATTTATTGCTCTCACTTTCCTCYTTCCTGGAGAGTGGTGTTCAGTCTGAGTTCCTCTTGCATGAGATTTTAGATTCACCAAAACACTGAACTCACCTCTAACTCACTCGTCTCTGGTCTCATGGTTTAGTCATGGTTTAGTCTCCTACTTTCTGCTAAATAAAGTCCTTAACTGGGAGACTGTGTTGCCTTGATGATATTCAGAAAGACTTTTTTTACACTTACTATGCATCTTAACCTCTTTGGACATTCAATAGCATCCGGTCTCTTTCTGAGAAGAATGAGGTGAGAAAGGGAAAGAAGAAGTGGATGAGAGGCAGCGTGGCTTGTGGTCATTTATCTCTGTGAATGGTGTAGCTGTGGCCACAAAGGCGTTGAGGTGAAGGCACTGACCATGGTGGAGCTATGTCCTTGCTGTCTCCAGGAGCTGGGTTGGCTCAGACCACTGGAGTGAAAACAGAAATGGATGATGCCATGGCCGTTCTTCTTCTGGGAATTCGGATGAACTATCGGCAAGCCTTGGCACGATTAGATATCCAGTCTGTCTCAGCTGCTGTAGCTCATTTCTGGGATTAGTGATGCCCATGAGCCAACAGAGATGCACTGCTCTCCCAAATGYCACCAGCCCAGAAGGACCAGGAAGACCCATTCGTTGGTTCATGTCTTCTCCCCTCCCATGAGCTGAGACTTGTCTCCCTGCAGGGAAGTCAACGTAGTGTCAGCGAGCAGGACACAACCCTGGGCTTCTGCCACATACTGGCTGCTTTAGGTAAGGGGAGGTTAGCACTTCTGGGGAGGCTGTTGCATTTTTGGTGGGTCCTCGTGACCCTGAAGCAAGACTTCTTTTAGGGAGAAGTTGGTGGGATTGGGTTCTCCAGGAGCCCTTCATCAGTCTGCAGGATAGGCCAGGTGGCCTATGCTGGATTTGTGGGCAGCTCTTAGGATTAAGGCAAGGAGAGGGAAAAGCAGCTAAACCAGCGTGCACAATGAGCCGTATTCTACGCTGTCATAGTCAGGAGGTGGTCGCACTGCCAGCAGGCTTAAGATGGGCTTGTGCAAAGCCATGAAGAAGTGTGGCCAGGCCATAGAAGTCCCCTCTCAGGATCAGGGATGGCAAAAACAGASCAAGGGAATCCACATTGCTCCCGACAGCTCCAAATCCCAGGAGCAGCACCAGCAACGCACTGGAGTTCCAGTGTGTCCCACTTGGGTCCATGCCCGAGCCTGCACGGTGCCAGCTCCTGCTGGGCACGGAGCGGTCGTATCTGAGTGAGTCGCTGACACGGAGTTTTTATTTACTGCTTGTTATTCCCCCACCCTCCAACCCTATTACTGTTGCCTTTCCTAAAGGGAGAGATTAGCCAGAGGAATGTGTCCTTTGCTGCTGGCAGCGCCGTTTGGCTGCTGTTTCCTTCTACTGATGTTTTTAATAAGGGAGGAAATGGCTGTTCATCTCGGGGAGAGGCGTTCTGTCATAATCTGCCATTCCCTGGGATTTGTTTTTATTAGCTCAGCGCTGGTGTGCAGGCGCTGCCAGAGCTGCTCATTGATTTCCAGGGTGTTTTTCAGGCCGGATAATATCTCGGCTGCCTGCCCACGCCGCTGTGGTTGCTACCAGAGCTCCTGTAACTCACACCGCGCAGGTTTCCATCAGCACCCTCTGCGAGCTGCTCTAGGTCTCGCCAAAGCGAAGGTAGGGATTTATTCCAAAGGCAGGAAAGGTCAAGGAAGTCTTCTTTCAATGTGCTTGGGAGTCAGGCWCATGCCCGAATCCCAAAGGAAAAAGACTTAGTATGGAAACACATTCGTTGAAGTTGAATATGTTATTTATTTCATTTTTTTTTTTTTTTTTAAGAAAAGGTTAGTCCGGCTTTTATTGCTTTCTCTTAAGCCTGTCCTGAGGCTTGGGGATCCAGAGAAACAAATCCATTAGCTGACATTTTGCACAGTTTGCTTAATAAGTTGTTTCTGAGCTGAACACAGCCTGTGCAAAAGCTTCCTTGCAAAGCTGGTATAGATTTAGTGGTAGGAAAACTMAGTTCCTTGCCCAGCCATGACAATCTTTCACCAATCTTGACTTTCTTGGCTCATTTGGGAGAGGTGCGTGTTACTTGCTTGCTGAGAAATGGTTTCTTGAGCATTGGAGGTCAAACTCCCYAATCTGCAAATGATGAGGTTGTAGTAGCTTCATTTCAAGAGCCTACCAAGTCYCTGGGTCCCTGGGTGCTTGATGTTTTTGCTCTGATTTCCTAATGTTGTCAGAACCATAAGAAGTGACCTGCAGCATATGCTAGATGAGAAGTGGCTATACTGGAATTTTCATCGTCTCTCGAGACAACTCATGGTCCCTGTACTCAATGGAAGAGGAGACATCCGCTCCTCAGCTGGGATTATCCTGTCAGGAAAGCCAGAGTCCAGTGATATTGTCGGGAAATTGCCCCTTGTCCTATCACCTGGTAGCTCCCAAAGGCTGTTCCAGCTCTCCAGAGCTTTGGGGAGATTACTGAGGAGCACAGGTTGAGTGCTAGTGATACACTTATGGTTTCAGATGCATTTTGTTTGCTATATGGACCTTGCAAGCAGCTGTAAGTGAGTTTATTAAAGTTATTTTGTCCTGGGTCAGGGAACACTTGAATGATGCTGGACMGGGCAGGTTAAGGAGAAGACTTGTTCCTCTTATACAGCTCCTTGGGTTGAGGGTACATTGCTCAGATGTTGTGGCCCAGGTGCAAGGTCTGGATGGTGGATTCATTCGGGAGAATTTACAGTAGATTTAATTTACAGTAGATATTTTACAGTCTTCTCTGGGGAGATTTCTGGTGCTTGCTTGCTCCTCATTGCCCGGGGGCTCTGCCACAGCACCTGCAATTGGGAGGCACTTGCTCTGTYGTGAGGTATCCCAAACAGGGCAGAGAGCACCCAGCCTTTGAGATCTGGCTCATTTCTTCTCCTGGACTTCCAGAGGAAAGCTACAAAATCAGATTTTTTTTCCCCCTCAGGTGTTCTTTAAATTGCTCTTGTTCACTCTTTATGGTTATTATTCCTATTTGTCTGCTCTTTTGCAAGTTTGCCAGGGATGAGGGRGAGGCTGTAATTGTGGGGAAGTTGTTTTTATGGTAGTTCCCTGGCACTCCAGGGAAAAGTGTTGTGTACATAAAATCACGGCTATCATTGTGATTAATATTAAGAAGAACAATAGAGTGACAATCATAAGAATAAAACGGCAAAGTCTGTGTTTGTGAGCAGGGCTAGCCAAGCCTTTCAGGCAAAAGGTGCATGACTTCGTGTATTGCTAGCCCATCTTCTGGACCTGTATGTAGGTCAGCATGGTGATGAATTTGCAGTAGGGGAACAGGAGAAAACTSTGCCACTGTCCTCTCAGGCACATCCCACTAATCCATAAAGCCACAGTAATAACCACAGTATTAAGCCAGWCTCCTGACAAGCTGCTGAAGAGGTGGCACTGACTTAGGTTTAACTGCTCCTGCTTCCCTCTCCWTCTTCATAGAATCATTATGGTTGGAAAAGGCCTTCAAGGGCATCGAGTCCAACCATAAACTCTTCAACACCATCCTGCTAACCGTGTCCCTAAGTGCCTCATCTACAGGTTTCTTCAGCACTGCCAGGGATGGTGACTCCACCACTTCCCTGGGCAGCCTGTTTCAGTGCTTGACTCCTCTTGCCATGTAGAAATTCTTCATAATATCTGAACCTGAACCTCCCCTGGTGCAACTTGAGGCCATTTCCTCTTGAGGGACCTCCTTGCACAGCCTGCATGATGGATTCATCTCCCATACGCATGGCCAAAGCAGCAAGAAGCCCTCAGAGACTTGGCTGGTGCAGGGCCAACTTTGCCTTGGGGTGTATGAACTTGTGCTGTTAGCCTCATATCATCCACCCTTCCAAAGCCCTCCTGGTTGCTGCTTGCATCTGCCCTCGATAGGTCTCCAAGCTCCGCATCSCATCGGCAAGGCGATCCTGCCTCATGCGGGGTCTGTGCAGGGAGACGTTTCCCTGCTGCCRTGGCTGAAATAAGGAATGATTTGCAAGGATATGGGTTTGCATTAACATCCTTTTACACTGCGTTAAGGGGGATGGATGGGAGAGCTTGACACCGAGATAAAGCAACGTGCAGCCGCGAGGAAAGCGGTGGGCACTTCATCTTCCCGGTGTCCTGGGTGCTGCTGGAGGAGCTGGGCGGAATRGACATTTCCCTCCCGGCTGCAGGAAGGGCCCTGATGATCTCTAGCCTCCTTGTCACACTTGGGACTGTTCCCTGCCTAGCAGGAACGCTCCAGCAGAGCGGCAAGAGCATTTGGGGGAATGAGCCCCCGTGCTCTCCATCTCCTCCGGGACGTCTCCCCGAGGAGGGAWGCACCAGAGATGAGGGGGAGCCCGTCCCCATTCCTCGTTATTATGTGATGCCTATCACTCATGCTGATAAAGCCGGAGTGCTGAAGGCTTCTGAGCGGTTCCTCACGGGTGCTGACATAGCAGAGCATCTATCAGGAAACGCCTGGCGTCTGATGTGGCTTTATCATTGGCAGGCAGGCAAAGAAAATGGAGAAATTAATCACCTGCTCCCTCCGTCTGTCGTGGGCTTTTATCGCACGGGGAGGGCAGCGTTTCCAGGTTGTCCTGGGGTTTTTTTGGAGTGTCACACTATTGGGTTTGCCACTGCCCAAGTCGTTGAATTATCAGCAGCGGAGGGGACCAAGGCTAACGCTTCTAACACAGCTTGTTGCACCACAAAGCCGGGTTTTGTGGCTCCCAGGGCGGCCTGAAACGGCCCTGGAGATTTCCAAGCAATCTTTGCCCCAGCTCGTTGACTCCAASCACTTAGCCCCGAGGCTTGTGACTGACCGTATGTTTTGCATTTCTTTGTTTGCATTTCACTAAGTAATGACATCTCTGATTTCCCCACATCTGGTGGAAACCTGGGGAGTTGTGCAGGTTGGGATTCGGTAGTGGAATAAATTGAGCGCGGGATTTTCAGCATCTCAGTTCTTTCTGTTTTGGTGGGAAGTAAACACAATGCAAATGCAGAAATAACCCAGTGACGTTTTATCAGCAGAGCATGGGCACACATACACCACCTCACATAGGATTTGGTCCCCAGCTTGCATGTTTYTATGGAAAATTCTGTGATGCGAGTTCACTAGAAGGACCCACTTTCCAGATCTTGTTAAGTTTTGTCTTCTGCTACAGTTTGAAAGCAAATAGGCCTAGAAAGGTCTGTCTTTATTCTGGGAGTCTGCCAGTGTTCAGTCTGCCTTCCCAACAGTTTTTTATTCCTTATTGCTGGTAAATGTTGAAATGAACTTGGTTTTGTGATCTCCATGTCTTTATTAGTGTGAAACTTTTCTTTTACAATTAAGTTGCGATGTTTGATGGTTCTCCATAGAGCGTGTCCGCCCCTTGGCTGTGTGTGCGGAGCTGCACACAAGACAGACAATGCCTTCCAGGTGTTTCCAGCAACATCATTATGATTTCTTGGAGGTTGCGTCTGTTCTCAGCACCCACAACCTGCTAGATGCTGATCAGTGGCTTTCTGGTCCTCTCTGCAGCACAGCGATGCGGTGCATGACCTGCTCTTGGACTTCATCACGTGGGTTGGCATCCTGCTGTCGCTCGTCTGCCTCCTGATCTGCATCTTCACCTTCTGCTTCTTCCGCGGGCTCCAGAGTGACCGCAACACCATTCACAAGAACTTGTGCATCAGCCTGTTCGTGGCAGAGCTCCTCTTCCTCATTGGCATCAACCGGACGGACCAGCCGGTAAGAGGCAACGTGCTTTAAACATTGAGATATCCCATCAGCACTTYAATGCCACCTTAATTCCTTGTGTGGTCCTGTATTGTGAGACAGTGACTTTTATTGMAGTGCAGTGTGGAGTCCCTGGGAATCACTGTGGTGACTTTGGTGGGCCCTGTTTCAAGTCCTTTCCCAACGTGTAGAAACGAAATTCCGTGTCCTTTCTTCTCCTTGTCCTTTCTTCTTGGTAGAGGCAGATGTTTCTGGAAAGGAAGGACTGGAAAGGAAGCTGGCTTGCCGCTTGCTTCATTTTGCTGAGGAGCTCAACCTGGGCAAACAGAGAGTCGCAGTTCTGCTTTTCACTGAGGCAAACCTGCTTGCAGCCTCTGTTATTTACTCACAGCTGAGTTTGCTGCGAGGATTTACTTAACTCCAGGAAGCTTCTTGTTGTTCAGGTCTTAAAAAGACCAGAACGTTTGCACAGTGTTTGTGTAATAATGCCCARTGCAAAGCAAATCGAGTGGCTTCTGCGTTTTCCAACCTTCCCTGCCTTGGGAGTCCCTTTACCTGKTGCCTTTGCTCTTAAAATAAGTGCTGCCCAATGAAGCCCCCAGTGCATGTCCGATGGTACCAGCACAAGTATCCACAAGGTGAAAAAGAGCTTGGAAAGCTGCCCAGACCCATAGAGTCAAAGTCAATAGAGCCCTTTGTAGATGGGACACGTCCCCCACAACTCCCTCCTTGTCCTTAAACCCACCAGCTCCCTGCCGTTTTAGCTGGTGGTGCCTTCTTCCCCACAAAGACCTCCCCTTGCTCCTTGCCCTCGCTCGCAGATCGCCTGCGCCGTGTTCGCCGCCCTGCTGCACTTCTTCTTCCTGGCGGCCTTCACGTGGATGTTCCTGGAGGGCGTGCAGCTCTACATCATGCTCGTGGAGGTGTTCGAGAGCGAGCACTCCCGCAGGAAGTACTTCTACCTGGTGGGCTACGGCATGCCCGCCCTCATCGTGGCCGTGTCGGCCGCCGTCGACTACCGGAGCTACGGCACGGACAAAGTGTGAGTAGGGAACGCCGGGAAGGCCGGGATGGCTGGGAGATGGGCTGGGGTCTCCGTCGGCAGCGCCTGCCCTCTTCTCACACCGAAGGAGGAGAAGGAAAAGCTCTTGCTGGGCTCCCTGTTGGGATTACAGCCCCGCATCTTCCTCTGTGGAGCGCAGCAACATAAACATTTCCCAGGGAAGAGGCTGCCTTTTCCTAACACGCCTGATGCATCCAAATATTTCTGTAGCGCAAGCAGAAAGTTTGGCTGAAATTCATGGGAGGTGAATGACAAAACTTTGCTCTCTTTGCSGTGACTCGGCAGCGCTCGCATGCCCATAAAATCTCTTTCCTCCCCCATGCCGCAGAAGAGTATCTTTAACGATCAGGCACGTAGATAAAATATTTTGCAAATAAATATTTGCAGAGATTTATAGAGATGAAAATATTTATTTACAATCTCTAATTCCAGAGTGCACAATTTTATCACGTTCCCATAGTGGGGAATAAAAACATACAGTATGTTTTGTATAACTATCATGCTCCATCTGCTTGATGGATGATGATGTATTTTTCTGTATAATGTTATTAGGAGGGGAGAACTGATTAGAATTTGTAGGGAACTATATGCCAGGCATACATAATTTGATTGTAAGAAGTTGCTYGGATTTGCCAGGTTTTGGAAGGCATCCTCTAGAATATATTACTTGCCTCCTCCCGTTATTTATTGCATTTGTTTAAGCAGGACTTATGGAGCTGTTAGTGTTATTTGTTTTTTTGGCCTGGCATTCGGTGCCACCGTTCGTGTATCTCAGAATGATTTACTCAGACAACGCCGTGTTGGCTTCTTGGATTTCATTTGGGTTCTAAATCCAGCCCTGGTGTAGCAGCACATCCCAGGCAGGCAGGCAGGAGCACGTGGTCCTTCCTGTCCCTGTTTCCACACTCATCTCAAGGCATTTATGGCTTTGTGAAGCCTCCCGTGTCCTGGCCTTTGTACTCCAGTTTTTGCACTAGCTGCCCCGTAGCAACACGCTCTTCAGCTTAATTATTCCAAGGGTTGGCATCTATTTTTTCCTTTTATTTTGTTTGTTTTTATTTTTTAAGAGTGGTGCAAACAAGCCCTGTTAGGAGACCTAAGATATCCATTTTATAGTCTGCAGCAGCGAATGCTTTCGAAGTCTGCATTTTCTGATTTCATACATATTTTGGCTTTTCCAGTTCAGAGAGGTTCAGGGCAGGACATGTTTTCTCAGAAGCAAATTTCTGCATCTGTCCATATAKACCCTTGTGTTCACTGCAAAGTCCATTGGAAACAGGAAAAAAAATCAACCTATATATTACAAGCATAATTTGCCAAAAAAAAAATCGCTTTTTTCCAACATGATAAATTCATATTTATATTTCTTGGCAGTTTTTGAATTATGCAATYCCATCAAACGTTTAGGTTTATTAAGCTTTCTTAGCCTTCTCTGGGTTAAGCAGAGCTCTAATTTGCGGTGTTGCAAACAAGGCAAGAGATTATTATTTTAAACATCTTGCAAAACTTTCTGAGGATTTCTATTCATCTGTCTTGTTACCCATCATTTTCATTTTATCTTCCTGTCGCCTGGAATGAAACAAGAATGGAAATGTAATTTCCCGGGGGCCTTAAAAATTGGGGGAGTATTAAATGCAGTTGAAATTAAGCGATTAATAATTTAGCATTAGGCTATGAATCAACTTCATGTGATACCAAAGACCAAATGCAACCCTCGAAACGCTAGAGGAAACAAAACGCTCCACAGGTTGGGACCATGAGACTCTTAAAAGGGGAAGTTGCTCCCTAAGTTAATTAAAACACAGCCAAAATATACAAAAGTACAGGTAACAAAAATATACTTCCAGTTGTTACACAGGTAACGAAAATATACTTGGTTTGCACCACATTTGCCCAGAGCTTCTTGACCAGAGCGTGTCTTCCTGCTTGCCAGCTAAGAGCAGCTTGTGGGGAAAAGGATGTCCTAAAGCTAGTAAGCTTAATGGCTGCTCATCAAATGCCCCCAAATTAATTACAGAAATATATATATGAATATATATGTGTATATATGTACATATTCAACTCCTCCTCCGCCCTGTGTTTCCTTGCAGGTGTTGGCTCCGACTTGACACCTACTTTATCTGGAGCTTTATAGGACCGGCCACCTTGATAATAATGGTAAGCACTCCTAATTAACCACACCATTGCCYGGAGAAGGGTGGAAACTTTGGCCCTCCCTTTCCCCTTTTAGCTTGATTAACTACAGATTAATTACCCTGATTAATTTACAGAAGGCATGTCCTTCTGCAAGCCCACCTGGAACAAGGTATCAGGAGAAACTCTGGGCTGGGGAGTGGGATGGGATGGTGATTTTCACTTCACGTCAGTGGGGCCAGTTAAGCAGGACGTTTGGAGTAACTTTTCCTAGAATAATGCTGCTCAAATATGGAAGAGCTGTTGCAGCAAAAGGATTAATTTCCCATTGCACCACTTAAGTGTTGCAGTCAATGATGCCACCAGCCTTTCATCACTTACATGGGCAGCATAGGCTTGGGGGGACGTGGTGGCCTTGCCTGTCCTGTGCTCTGCAGGGCAGCTCAGCCCTGTAAAAACACTTGGCAACTTCCCTATAAAAACTGTAGGAAGAGCTCATTTCCTAGGGCAACTCATCTCTTTGCGAGAAGAGCCCAACTTTCTCCCTGTCACATTGAGCCATGTCGTATAACTTTTTTTTTCTCCTTTTTTTTTTTCTTTCTCCTTTGCAGCTTAACGTGATCTTCCTTGGCATCGCTCTCTATAAAATGTTTCACCATACTGCCATACTGAAACCTGAATCTGGATGTCTTGACAATATCAAGTAAGTGGTTATCCTTCTTGCTTTRCTTTCTTCTCTGTCTCCTTCTGCCCTTTGCCATTCGTGCCCCTGTTAAGCGCCRGGCAGCATTTGGGGTCACCAGGTTGGCTCTCATTAGGGTTCATGCAACCCGCCGTGGTGATGTTTCCCATGCAGTTTTGCGTGAGGGAAAGGGAGTCTGTGTTTGCTGTCCTTGAAGCCAGCATCCCTTGCATAAGAGGAAACGGTGTGTACTAATTACCGGGCAATTATTGCAGTCCCAACAGGGAAGGTGTAGAAATCATTGATTGTTGCTACCGCTCCGCGTGCCACTTCGTTTCTGCTTGTTTCCAGCCCCGCCAGATTTAATGACTGGTGCTTTAATGGATGCTGATTAGTTTCAGTTCCCGGGGGCTGACCACATCAGAGGAGACCTTCTCTCAGCAAGGCACGTTTTGCCCTCAAGCTTGGTTAGGGTCCAGGATCTTGCTGCCTCATTATATTGATAGAGCACTAGTCCCCGTCAGCGCCTGTTTGCTTAAGCACCTCTAGCTTTAATTAATCTCTCCCAAAATGCAAGGGGGTGATTTCAGGTGCGACACACCATTAGATGCGGAGCCTGATAATTAACAAAACCATCTAATGAACTTGGGGCAGAGGAAGTTATTGACACTTGTCGTCTAGAGAAGGCCAGTGGTGTCGAATGCTGCTGGAAGTTGGTTCTTCTCCCCACCTCTGAACAACGAGGTGTTTCTCAAGAAGGTCCTTGTTGGTACTCACAAGTGGTGCTTTAATTTCAAGTTGGGCTTGTTGGTGACCCAACATCAGCAGGGTAAGGGGTTGTGTCTTAGGCAGAGCTGCTGCTTCAAGGCCAGGGAGGACAACAGGACCAGGCATGATAGTCTTTCAGTTGGCTCATACAATTTTGGACCAGGAATTGCTGGTCCTATTCCTTTTATTAAAAAATGGTACGTTTGATATATTACTAATGTCTTGCTAAGGTTACTCACCCTCCCCCAAAAAAAAATCTAGAAAACCTGCAGTATGACGTGAAAAAAATATATATAATKAATGCAGAGATGCAGAGATAATAATTACCAAATAAACTTGCTTGTAATAATCTCTAATATCTTTGCTTAAAATGCGAGGATTTTATACAACCAGTTAGCACTGCTGTGAAGTATTTTATAGCTTCTGTGGCAGATGAGTATCTGTTCCAGATTTGACTTCATTAAAAGTTGTGAAACGCGAGCAATTGAAATGCTTTCAAATAGATTGCTGATAGCCTTCCAAGCCGGTTGCTTCGTTATGAGTGATTTTTTTATGTTTAAGAAAAGTATAACGTGAACTCAGGAGGCCCTGAGCTCCACCTACCAAGTGCATCTGGAAAACAACTCCAGAAGTGGCTTGACTGTAATTTATAAATACCGTGCAGAAAGAAGTCCTGTAAGTCTTTAAATCAAAAGTGTGTGTGGTTTCAGTATCAGATAATGCTGAAGTTAGGAGAAGGTGCAGATCTTTGGCAGAGAAGAGGGCTTGCCTTTGGGTGACAACCTTTACCTAGGGACACTGGAAGATTCTTCAGCTTTGGAAATCTTTTGCTTAAGATCATAGTCGTCTTCCTAAGTCATTTGCTCTTACTCAGTTGCAAACTGTGCATGTGATGCAGCAGTTCTGGAATAAAAGCCACAGACATTTTGTGTTGGGGGTGACCAGGAAGACCCTTTTTGTACTGACCTCTGTGGGTTTACAGGCTTGGGGAGAACATACCCCCAGGTCTCTTTCTCAAGATGCACCTTGACCTTGGTGGCTCTTGATGGCTCCCAAATGTTGCATCTCATCGTCTCAAGATGCACCTCGACCTTGGTGGCTCTTGGTGGCTCCCAAATGTTGCACCTCATCGTCTCAAGATGCACCTTGATCTTGGTGGCTCTTGATGGCTCCCAAATGCTGCATCTCATCATCTCCTGCTTAGAGAAAGCCAACCCAAGGCCAGGCCCGCGTTGGAGGGCCCCTTGCTGTGTGTGTGACAGCTTTACGGCACGCGGGGAGCTGAATGGGGGTTTGTTCTCCCCGTTCATTTCCGCGCGCCGTTCTGCGTCTGCCTGCGCTGAAGCTCTCGCGACATAAATCCCGAGGCAGCCCCGCAACAGCAAAATGCCCCATTCCCTATGGCAACGTAAAAATAAAGGCCATAAAGTATTTTAATGGGCTGTTAATAAGCGCCCCTGCAATCTGCTGCTTGCCTATGTCACTTTAAAGGTTAGAAATACATTATGAAGCGTGGAAAACAGAGAGCCAAATAACTCCACTTAAATTAATGAACTTGATAAGGGATCAGGTGTCACCTGGGGATACCTTTAATTACTGCACCAACAGAAAAGCCATTCAGAGGGCAGCGCCTGCRCCAGATGCCGCGCGGCTGGAAGATTTGTAGGTGCTGTGCAGAGCTGTAAAAATAAACTTCCCGGGGCCTTCAGGAACAGTCCTGGCATTATGGTGCTAGCCCGGCAGGACCTGACGTCCCTGCGTGGGAGAACTTGGGAACCCGAGGGCGAGAGATTGGGCAGTAAGCGGCTGTTTTGCTGTCGCCTGTGTTAACTTCGCCTGCTTGGCCCAGAACTTCTCCAAAGGGCGAATCCGAGCCTGCATGTTGGGTAGCTGCGAGGCATTTGAGGCCGGTTCCCTGAGCCCCCAGGGCTGTGGACATCCTCTGTGTGTGTCAGGTTGGAGATTTGTTCTCCCCCTTTCCCTCTGCGCTTTGCTGGGTGCTGCTGTACTGCCCAGCATCATCACGGGGCTCCGTAAGGTTGCCAAACTGGATCCTCAACAGAAAAGCAGTGGAAAACTGTCTTTTGTGTGTGTGTGTGTGTGTGTGTGTGTGTGTGTGTGTGTGTGTAGTAATTATTTAACTAATAAAAGCATCTTTGAGGACTTTGCAAATAGAGCTGGCCACGTGCCATACTTGAATTTATGTCGGTGTCTTAATGTGTTTCTAACAGTGGGAGGGGAAGGAGTGAAGCCTGGATCCTTCTACCAAGGAGAAGTCGCCTYTTTTTTGTTCCTTGAAGATAAAACCGTTCGTGTTGAGGTTCCCACGTGTGCTTTTTGCTCTGGGCTGTTGCCCCGCTGCCTTGTTGCGCTGCCGCTTGCTAGCGTCGCACGTAGCCCGGCCAGACGGCCTGACATTCTTCTGCAGTGCAGTATGTGGCAACGAGGCTTTATTTTATTTACTTTGGAAGGGTGACACGCTGGCCTGGGCTGCCAAATGCATTTAAAGACCCGTTAAAGAGCAGGCAGGAGGAGGAGGGATTTCTCAGCTCACTTCTTTTGTCCAGTATTGTGGTGTTCTTASCTTAGCCACAGGAGACTTGGGTTTGTGTTGGTGCCACCTGGATGCTCTTCAGAAAGCCCCACTCATAGGAACGTCCTCAAAGAGGAAGAAGCTGAGCTTGGATTTGGGTTTGCTGGAAACACTTGTCCTCTGCAAAAGAAACCTACCCAAAAGTTGCCTTAGGACTTTGGCTTTTCTTTCTTTTAGATAGGAACATTCAGACTCAACTGGGAGCTCCCTTAGGTGCTGAATAGAGACTGTTAATTAAGGGGCTTAAGACAGTTTAATCCTGACATTAAATTTCAGATTTTTGTTTTGCAGCCTTCCTTCCTCTTGTGTAAGCCTCTACCATCCCTTCTTCTTAAACAACAGAGTAAACACTGTCAAAGGACGGAAATTCCTTTGAAAAATGTGTTTATTCTAAGCATGCAGGAGGGAGTGTTTCCAGTTTTTGTGTCATGGTTTACAAAAGCTCTTGCTGAAATCCCTGGAGTGTCCTGAACTGCGGCCTSCAGAAATCCATCTCGCCCCAAATGTCAGCCGTTGGCGATGGCCAAAGGAACGTCGTCATCTCCATGCCTGCTGGCTACGATGGGCTCGGGAGGAGATGGTGGGAGAGGGAAAGACCCATCTGTCTGTGTCCACGCGTCTAGGGAAGGCCACATCGACCTGAGTCACTTCCCTGCGTGAGGATGCTCGCTTTCCAGCAAGGAAAGCGCTGGTCCTCAGTGGGRTTTTGGTGCGTACGGGGCAGGAAATTGAGGTCAGAAGCACTGAATTCTAGTAAAAACAAGCCTGTGGAGCTCATACATTTTCAGCATTGCCATCCTCATTTTCCCCATTAACCAAGACTCGAGCCTTCCTCCTGTTATMTTTCCCCAAGAGTGTCTCACTCAGAGGCTTCCAGAGACCAACAGGAGACAGCACAGCCTAAAAGCCCAAAACCAGGAGCCGAACGCAAGGACCCAGTGGTTGGTATTGCTTTCCGAAGCCCAATCTGTGCTCTGCAGGGAGCCTGACTCAGTCCGGAGGAGGCGCGGGATGAGGGAAGCTACGCGCTGTAGACAGTTTGGTCATTGGAATGACAATTTGTGGACACTTTGGTCGTGATGAGTCAGAAGGAGCCACCGAACGGAGGAGCCCGTTTGGAAAACAYGCCTCCTTCTACGCTACCGCTTCCATAGCCTGCTCTGCCCATATGGTGCATGGGTGTAGGTGATTATCTGCTCATTTTCTTGCTTCAACATACCCGCTTTATATAAAGCAACATGACTAATCCTAGGCCCCAGATTAGCTGGTTGGTTTGTTCCTGTGGGTTTTCTTGAGTCCCAGAAAAGGCAGAAAAGCGAGCTCGAAGCTGCAAGCAGAGGTTAAATACAACCTCCCCAAAAAATCATCTGCAGAGCTGTTTTAAGTAAAACCCTTTGTTTAATGCAGCTGTATTGTGCTGGCAGCAAGAGAGGTTTGCCAGTCTCGTTTTATTTACCCAACTGATTGAAATGCAGGGAAAGTAAACAGAGTGCTTTGATGCAGTGCAGAAGGAGGCACATTTCTGAAGGCTCCTTCCCTCCGTAGCCAGTGCTTCCCTTACTGGCACGGCCAAATACCTTGCAGTGGGTGTGCTTTTTCTAAGGGAAGGCTAATTTTTGCTTTATTCTAGCTGTTTTAAAATGAAATACAAGTAGGAAGA